ACACTGGATTCTTTGACAACAAAGACGAGAGCCCACACACATTTCGGATGTTTGTATCTCGGCATTACGGTAATCTCATGTAGCATCAAGAAATTAATCTACTGTCAAATGGAAATTAAAGGTCCCATGTCATGCTTTTACGGTTATTACCCATCCCCTTGTGTGTTATGAAGGTTTTTATGCATGTAAACGGTCTGCAGAGTCACAAACCCTCAAAGTACACCCTGTAGGGAGTAAAACTCGAACACAGAAAATACCTCCCCAAAACGCCTCGTTGGAGATTTCTCATTTTCTTCCTGGGTATCGCTACGTTGGGATACCCAGTAGCCACGCCCAGAGCTATGGCTGCACGCTCTGCAAGCCTTTCACGAAACATAGCTTCCCAAACCTTTCAGCGATTCATGCCGGATATGTACAGCGTAGAGCACTGAAGAACAATGCTGTTCCTACTTTGTTTGGACCAGTGGGAGATTCGGCTACACAACCTGTAAGTATTCATTGTTGTTTGTGTATTTATGATGTTTAAAACAAACAAGGTATCTACCACGACTGTTTAAATGGGTAAACGTTTTTCGGACTGCTAAGTTGGGATGGCGGAGAAATGCTCTCTGCAGAGACCCATGCTCACAGCGTTATAAACCTTTTTCTTACTCAATATCAAGCCACAGTTATTGTTTTTACTTCGGCTGTGAGTGTTTGTGTGTGCTCAGGATGAGTTTAGCTTGTTCTCGCTGTATCGCCGACCCGGAAGCCTGTCCGCTCCTCACAGCAGCTCCTCACGAGCAGCTGCACGTCGCTTGACAAATCAGAGCACACTGGGCTCACAGGGTGGGGGCGAGCTCCAACAAGCCGTTTAGGACAGAGAGTGAATACCTGTGAATACACATACTTTACAGAGATGCTGTATGAGAAACCAATGTGAGTTTGGAACGTTGAACAATGTAAAATGTATTTTAGTAGACCTCAACAATGGAATTATGATCAGTAGAAATGGCCATGACATCATGGGACCTTTAATAAACTGAAGTGATCCTAGAAGGTAAAAATTACATCTAATGCCCCCCCCCCCAGGTCAGCCCTAATAAAACTCTGACTTTTACATTTTTTACATTCAATTCACCATGATGTTTATTTACCATTCCGACCAACATTTGAGACTGCGGTCAAATTAACGTCAAAACATCCCTGATAAACCTGATACAAAATCTTTGCTGATAGACAAATATATGTTCATGAAGGATCTTCTCTTTACCCTGCACATTGATGCGTCCCTGGTACATGTCTCTTCCCTCTGAGTTGTAGGCTTCACACTCGTAAACACCTTCATCATCGAAGGATAAATCTGGCAGGATGAGGGCGGGGCCCTCCACACTGGAGCCTGCCTTGGACGGCATCAAACCGTCAACCTTCCTCCAGCGCAGTTTAGGAACCGGACTATGAGACATCAAATAGAAGGAGGAGTTCACCGGAAGAAATGGAAGAATGGTATTTTCAAAATGGAACAGCATAGGGAGCAGCTGGTGTAGAGTACAAAAGAGTTTGAAAGAACGAAGTACAAGTTAAAAGTAAAACCTATTAAAGCTCGACAGGAACAGCTGTTCAACCATACAGAGCTGTCAGCACATCTCAGTGAGTTGAAACCTTACTTTCCATAGGCGTAGCATTCTAGCTGCGTGGTTTGTCCTGCCAGGGCGTAGGTCTCTGCAGGGAACCGCACCTTGATGATCGGAGCTGACTTCCTGGGAGTGGCTGAAATAAAATACATTTGTAAACATTGAGTTCAAATTCCATTCAGATTAGGCCTATATACACAACTGCATTGGAAAATATGCACTCCCTACTGTAATGTCATATTTTCAAACATAGTTCACTAGGGACATCGCCTCTGATAGTGGTGTAGGCCATTTCTATGTATTTTCCCCCAAAAATGTATTTGGAAAATCGAACCTGAGGTATGACATTAGAATCAGTGTTCAAACCTCGAAGTCAGATAAGACAGGCCTAACAACAAACCAGTGGGTTATTTAATAACTCAGTTACTACCTTGAGACAGGTTATCAATGCATTTCCAACACAAATATACCCCTCTCTGGTCTCTGTATGGTCACACTGAATCATCAGTTCTCTGTTCCTACCGTCTGGCAGCACGGTGAGCAGGTTGGCCTTGCTGAAGGTGCTCTTGGTGCTGATGTCCATGTTGATGGTGGTGAAGCAGAAGTAGTTCCCGGTGTCGTTGGGCTCTGCTTTAGCCAGGTACAGGTTTCCTGTGACCTGCGACACAAACCAGCGGCCGTCGTCCTTCTTGATGAAGTTGGGAAACTCGTTGATTAACCAGCGGTAGGACAGAGCTGGGGGGGGGGACAGGTTGCAACACATAAGTAATTACAATAACTAGCGCTCAGATTTCAATAACCATTTGTTTCACATTCGACAGTATCGCAAAATAGGTTGATCATTCTGCTCATTTACAACACTGTAACCTTTGACCCTTCCCTATCAGCTGGAGGCAGAGGGGGTACCTGGGTAATGTGTCGGGGGCTGGCAGACCAGGAAGGTTCCTACGCCTTCATACGCTGTCTGAGGACTCCTGCTGTCCGGAGGGAAGTCATGGAGGTCTAGAGACACATGCAAAGAAAAAGAAAAAGTTATGGAAAAAAAATATTGATCACAAATCCTAACAGAAGCAGCAAAGTTCACAGTGGCCTATCTTATGCCTGGTCTCTCTGCCCTCTCATTGTCTCCAACAGGTCGAAGGTCAACAGCCTCATTGTTTTCACTCACAGCCAAACTTGAGGTTAGCTGCCCGGCTGATGATGGTGCCGCAGCGGTTGATGGCCAGACACTGATAGGAGCCGGTGTCTCGCACAGACTCCGGGTTGCTGATCACCAGGCTGCCCGCCACCAGGCTGTAACGCAGGTCCAAACCCAGCGGCACCTCTGTGCCATTCACAAGCCACCTGCAAGGCAAAAAGCAGGGAACAAGAAATAATAAACATAGTGGACAAGCTCTGACGTGTCAGCTCAATGATATGCCATTAAGAGTTATTAAGCTTCTCTAAGCAGCCCTAAATACATTTGAAATGCCAAACTAAAGCTGTGTAACAATCAAACATGCAAAAAAGATAGATTGAAAACAGAACAATGTTATATGTTTACAAGTATGTCAAAAAATCTGCACAACATTCACTCTTTTGTGAATGTTCTTTATATGTTCACCTCTTTGTGCTTTATCTAAACTCCCCAATTGTAACCCAAAATATGCTTTACATATTAATATGTTCAAATATATGAAATAATGACTTGTTTTACTCTCCAGTGTAGCTGTTCACATTACAGATTGATTTACATAAAAGTGGACAGTATGCACTGCTGTAGGTCATGCCTGTGTCATGGGTGAAACCACAGAGAAAGAAGGGTCAACATTATTTCAGAGTCTGTATCAGCTGTGTCTGACATCAGTATCACACAGTATCCTGCTGTCGACTAAATGTCTATTTTTAATGCTTTTTGTGATCCATGTTGACCTTCTGATTACCTTTATCAGGGTTTTGCTGATCAACACTGTTAAGTTGTTTACATGAAAAGACTATTACATGTTCAGTTACTTTATTTTCCAGTGGTCCTAGTTGTGCTGAATTACAGTATCACAACTTGTAAACGTGAAGATCATGTGGCTTTAGTTCACTGGTATTTACCAATTCGTAGGCAGGTTTGGGGGAACTGGTCCACCTGGCCCCATCAATGTGTGTGTGTTTGTGTGTGTGTGTGTGTGTGTGCGCGTGCGTGCGTGCGTGCGTGCGTGTGTGTGTGTGTGTGTATGTGTATGTGTGTGTCTGTGTGAGTGTGTGTGTGTGTGTGTGAGAGAGAGAGTATGTGTGTGTGTGTGTGTG